CCTGTGGCTGCTACTCTTATTTTACGTCTCCCTCCTTTCCTTTTCTCTTCTTGCAGCTCCGCCCCTAAAACGCAGCTATCCATCAAGTCATCAACACATTCTAATTGGCCAATTACATGCAAAGGGCTAGAACCATCCCCCTCCCACAACCGTGGGAAGCACATGATAGGGAGCATGTGCCTACTGGTTGACCAATAGGAGGATAGTATAGTCCAACCACTACACCAATGGGAGGGTGATGGTCCTGCCCTTTCCAACTCCAACTGCCTCAGCAGGGCAGCCTCGTGCCCTTGCAGTTTGACACCTTCCTTGCATCCTGAGAAGGTCCCTTCGAGGCCACTTAAGGGATGCAGGATGGCAGGCCCAGACTCCCTAAGTCCCGCCTGGGCCTTCCCCACTCTTCTCCTCCATGGAGCAGATGGGAGGGAAGGCCTTTCCAGACAAAAATAATATATATGTAAATAAGTATGTTTTCAGGTTTTCTTCTTTTATCTCTTTTGTTTTCTTTTTTAATGGGACAACAATCGTTTTGGCTTTCTTTTTCTTTTTCGAGAAATGTTAAAGTTTCAAGTATCTTGACAATTTGAATACCCTCCCTCGCCCTTTTTCTAAGTTTTGGGTGCTGAGGAGAAACATCAACCTCCCTCTCTATCCTCCCATCTTGTGGCTCAGAGGTGAGTCCCTGTGAGAAGTTTAAGGACCTAAAAGGGAGAGGCAACTAAAAGAGCTTAGGGGCCAGGTCGCGGTGGCTCACGCCTGTAATCCCAGCACTCTGGGAGGCGGAGACGGGCGATTGAGCTCAAGAGTTCGTGACCAGCCTGAGCAAGAGCGAGACCCTGTCTCTACTAAAAAAATAGAAAAAAAAATTGGCTGAACAACTAAAAATATCTTTAAAAAATTAGCCATTAGGCATGGTGGCGCATGCCTGTAGTCCCAGCTACTGGGGAGGCTGAGGCAGAAGGATTGCTTGAGCCCAGGAGTTTGAGGTTGCTGTGAGCTAAGTTGACGCCACGGCACTCTAGCCCCAGCAACAGAGCGAGATTCTGTCTGGTAAAAAAAAAAAAGAGCTTAGGGGCGGGGGAGCAGGGTGTGCAGAAGATAGGATAGGGTGGAGTTAAGAAAAAGCAGCACATCATTGGGTGAAGGAATTTTTTTTTTTTTTTTTTTTTTTTTGAGACAGAGTCTCGCTTTGTTGTCCAGGCTAGAGTGAGTGCCGTGGCGTCAGCCTAGCTCACAGCAACCTCAAACTCCTGGGCTCAGGCGATCCTCCTGCCTCAGCCTCCCGAGTAGCTGGGACTACAGGCATGCGCACAATGTCCGGCTAATTTTAGTATATATATATAGTTGGCTTAATTTCTTTCTATTTATAGTAGAGACGGGGTCTCGCTCTTGCTCAGGCTGGTTTTGAACTCCTGACCTTGAGCAATCCGCCCGCCTAGGCCTCCCAAGAGCTAGGATTACAGGCGTGAGCCACAGCGCCCGGCCCGGGTGAAGGAATTTTTAAGGTGAGATGTGGACTGGGAGGTGTAAGTCAGCTTCGGGGTTACAGGAAAAAAATGAATTTGACAGAATTGGGTTTAAAACAAAAAATTAAGACATCTAATTGACCTGGATGAGGAATATCAAAAGAGCAATGTAGACCCAAAAGAGACGAGAGGTCTGCCTGGTGGCTTTTGATGGTCACAGATGGATGGATCTCAGGGGCCACTGCTTTGTTGGGGCAAAGGAGTCTGGTGGGGGGGTCTGAAGGGCACTGCGTTGAGGTGTTCCCATGGCCATCTCTTTTTGCCTTCTCTTCTTTAGACAGGCATGCCCCTGCTCTTTGTGCTAGGTTGCATTTTCTTCCCACTGTGCTTCACTGTCGTATGCTGGGGCCTGCAGAACCACGCCAGCCTGCGGATGGAGAGACAGGAGGCTGTCTTTGTGGCATCCAAGTAAGAGGACAAGGGTGAGAGTATCTTTGCTGGGGCCAAGGCTGGCAGAACTGATACCTTACTTTCAGGAGCAGTTAGTACTGAAAGCAGAAGCAGAGTGGGGGCTGGGGTGGGGGTGGGGCTAAGGGTCAAAAGACATCAACTATGGGATCTTTTGCAATTCATTTAATTTCTGTGAACTTCAGATCCCTCATTGGTAAATGGGTTTAATAATAACATCAACTTTCCTTTCTTTCTGGAGATGTTATGTGAGGGTCATGTGAATTAATGTCTATAAAGTAGGGGCTGCAAACTCCTGCAAATAATATAAGGGAGGTAGACACTGTGGGGACATTGTGAGCAAGAGGACTCACGTTTTATCTAATGGGGGTAGTGGCTGCTCAGCCCCTGCCAAATGCTATGGAGTTAGAATGTGAGCCCAGTGTTGTCTGTTCTTCTGATTCTTTCTTAGAAGAAGTTGAAGCCAGGCATGGTAGTCACAGCTACTCAGCAGGCTAAGGCAGGAGGGTTGCTTGAGCCCAGGAGTTTGAGGTTGCTGTGAGCTATGATGAGGCCAGTGCTCTCCAGTCTGGGTGACAGAGTATGACCTTGTCTAAAAAAATAAAAATTGAGCTATTTTTTTTTGAAATTGCCCAATTTTTGAACATTGACAAATAACTTAGAATTTATTTAAGAAAATACTATCCTGATAACACCATACTGGCCAAACAAAACATGTCTGTGGGCTGGGATGGGCCCTCAGGTGAGAAATTTATGACCTATTTGACAAAGCTTAACATAACTGTATGCTATCATCAAACCATAGGTAGAAGAGGGAGTTTGTAGAAAGCAGATTTTACTACGGTGTCTAAGTGAATTCTCTGGCAGAAAAAGCAAAGCAAAACCTTTTTCTCTACCTGCTTTAATCTGCCTCATTCAAAATGAAAGCAAAGTCCGGGACCAGCTTTGTGGTCCTTAATTTAAGTAGCTATGGCCTACCATCCCCTATCCTCCCAACTCAGTACTTTTTTTATGGTTTTGCTAATGTGTGGCTTTGGAGTTATGCCAACATGGCTTTGAAATCCAGCTTTTTTTAAATTTCAGAATATTATGGGGGTACAAACATTTGGGTTACATGAATTGCTTTTGTACAAATTGAGTCAAAGTTATACTGATGTCCATCACCCAGATAGTGTGCATTGTATATGTTAGGTGTGAATTTACCCATCCCCTAGCCCCCACTGAAATCCAGCTTTACCAAGTTTCATAGCTATGTTATCTTGGCAAGTTCTTCCCCCACCCCCAACTTCTAAAACTTCTATAAAACAGGGAGACCACCAGTTGGGAAGATTAAGTCAGAATCAACATGAATCACCTCTCACTGTGCCCAGAATGTAGTAAAAACTCAGGAAGGTAGTCCCTTTTTCCCATCAAGGGAAGCTCTGAGGTCAGGTTGGGTCTACTGTTGTCCCTAAAATCTGTCACTCCTGCTTAAAACAGGACTTCTCAGGGGCTTTCCTACAGATCACCATTAGAGGGCAGCACAAAACTGCACACCACAGCCCCTCACCTCTCTGTAGGGGCGGAGGTAGCGTGGGCCTAGGGCAGGGAAAGGCCAACAGTAGGGTTCATTATTCAGGCGACCCTTAGGGCAAGCCTGGACACCAAAGCGCAGTTTGGGTAGCAGGCCCCACATCGTGCAGAAGCCCACAGGACAGGAAGGCAGAATCCCAGGGAGGCAGCAGGGAAGAGAAGCAGTGTGACCCTGGCCAAGTCACTGTGCCTCGCCTTGCCTATGCTAGAATGAAGGGCCTGAGCCAGCCAGTCCTCTGTGGGCCTTTCACACTCTGAAACCGGGCTGTTCTTTGAAACCTCAGAGGCAGGGGAGCCAGGAACACAAGACAACTGAAGCAAAAGAGTGTGGTGGGTGCTCCGGGGAGGTCAGGAGGGGCCGGAGCCCCAGTGCCCTTGGGCTCGGGTGGGTTTCCCCACCTTCCTCACACCATGCACTGCCACTCTGACACCCAGCAGGAGAGGGTTCTGCCACCTCTTAACTCTGTGACCTTGGGCGGCATCACTTAATGCCTCAGGACCACCGCCTGGCCTGTAGGAAGGGGACAGGTGCCGCTACCTTGGTGCTGTTCAGGAGTTCCAGGAGAGCGACCAGGGTGAGGGGCAATGTCGCAGCACATGCAGGGTCACAAGAGGTGCCTCCAATGCTTCTGTTTCCCTGTCTGCCATGGGGTGAGGGGCCTCTGGGTCTGGAGGATGCTGTATTGAGGTGTTTGTCCCCATCCACGCCTTCAGCTCTTCCTTCTGAGGGAGCAAAATGCACCCCCTTCTCCTGCCCCCCCTCCCAGAGTGTCCTCTCTTCTGCCTGAGTGGGTGTCCTAAGCTGGCCCCCGGCAGGCCACTGAGGGTGCCTGTTGGGAGGCATGGGCAGAGGAGAAACGCCAGCATCTGCAAAGTGCTTATAGGAGATGGGGTCAGGCCCATCTGGGGCCTCAGAGCCCCCCCAGCTGGCCAAGGAGCCCTGGGCCCCCTTCGTCCCCAGGAGAAGAGCCACCCCTTTCCCGCCCTTGTCCCCAGCAGCCCCCTGTGCTATAGCTGCTGTCTCTTTAAGGGCCTCCCCCCTCCCTCTTTCTCAGCTCCCCCCATCTCTGTCGCAGCCACGGCTGTGGCTCAGAGCTGCATGGGGAGACTGCTGCTGCAGGTCCGGTTTCTTGGTGTCTGGTCGGTGCCATCATTTCCCCCCCTCCCCCCCCAAAGCTGGTGGCCTCCCCTCCCCCGCCCCCTCCCCACAGAGGGGGCAGGGGGCTGGGTACAAACTCTCTGTAATGCCATGTGCTGTGCCCGTGCCGGGCAGTGGCGGCAGCCAGAGGCGGCAGCGGCGATGGGAAAGCGGTGTTGACTGCTGACCACTTGCCCGGCTGCTCCCGGCTCCCTCCTTCCCTGCGGCCCCCCTCCCTCCTTCAGGGCTGGCACCTCGGTCCCCCCCCCCCGCCTCTCAGGCCCTCCCAGCCTCTCCACGTAAGCCACCCCCCCCACCTGCCCGGTCCTCCCTCCCCTCCCCCATCTGCATCCTCCTCCTGTCCCCTCTTCCTCTCTGTCCCTCGCCAAGTCGTCCCCTCCTCATCTCTTCCCAGCCCTCTCACTGGCTTGCTCCTGCTCCCTCTCTCCGGCCCTCTGTCCCAGTCTCGGCCCAGCCGCCCCCTCCCTGCTCCCTCAGTCTCACCGACTCCCCTTCTCCTCCCTCGGTCTGGCTCCCTTGCCCCATCCAGTCCCCACCCTGTCCCCTTTGTGCCCCTTCCTCTCTTGTTCTCTCTCCTTCCCTGGCTTGGCGTCCCTTCCCCACTTCTAACCCCCTTCCGCTCGGCCTCCCTGAACCTTCATGGCCACCATGCTGACCCCAATGGTGGCTGGGGGGGTGGTGTTCCCCGGACTCTTCCTCCTCTCCAAGAACACGCTCCAGCGGCTGCCCCAGCTGCGCTGGGAGGAGGCCGACGCGGTCATTGTCTCTGCCAGGTAAACTGCTTCCCTTCCCCACAGCCCCTCTGCTCCTTCTCAGGCTTCTCTGGGGATGGAAGGGACCTCAGTGCTTCCCTGGACCTCAGCCCGCCGGTGGACCGGGAGCCCCTGCAGTGGTTGGTGGGCTTTGCCTCCAAGCTTCCTTCCCTCCTCACAGCCTCACTCACTGTCCCGGGAGGCCTGGCCAGTCCAGCCATCTGGTCTACTAGTATTCAGACTGCTGTTCCTTCCCTCCTCCCCCCACCGCCCCCCCTCCATAATAGGGCCAGCCTCTGACTAAAACATTCCTATAAGATATTAGGGACCAAGGCAAGGGGCAGAGAGCCAGGGTGAGTGTTTGGGGGGACAAGGGACAGAGGAGTGAATGGTAGAACTCTACAATCTTGGAACAAGGGCCAGAGTTGGGGTGGGGGTCATGGTGGCAGTCAAGAACAGAGTGGGAAAGTGGCCCAGGGAACTTGGGGTCACTGAGGGGCCAGGATGACGGGGTGTGGGGACCGGGCAGCTGAGTGGAATGGGAACAGGCACAGGGCTCCCTTGGCCTTCTCGCAGTGCCCTCCTGCCCCAGGAGAGGCCTGTCCTCATAGCGCATTCGCAGCACTGTCCCGCCTCGGGATGACCTCCCTGCTGTCCTCCTGAGAGGAAGGCGACTCAGTATCCACAAGCGGAGGGAAGGAAGAAAGTGGTGGTGGTGGGGTGAACCTAGGCAAGCCCCACCTCAGAAGAAGGGGCAAGGACTGGCCCTGAGAAGTGACCAGATCCAAAGCACAGTCACTAGACTAGCAGGGAGGGAAATCGGGGCACACGCTTCTTCCTTCTACCTCTCTGCTCTTTTTCTCCCTAGGCTAGTGTCCTCTGTCCAAGCCATCATGGCCTCCACAGCTGGCTACATTGTCTCCACCTCCTGCAAGCACATCATTGATGACCAGTAAGTGCCATGAGACCACCTCTGCCTGGTTTTCAGCAGTCTGTGTCTGTGCGTGACTCCAGAACACCCCACATCGTGCAGGGAGCTGTCAGTGGTCCCTAAGCCTTTAACTTGGGCCTGAGCAAGTTAACTTCAATAGCTGCAACTCAACACCCAGGGATAAATTTATCCCGTCCTGTCCTTAAAGGTCAGACCAGGGGGAGAAGGGGTGAGGATCAAAGGGAATCCTCCTCCCTAGTCAGCGCCCCTGCCTGCTCTGTCGTAGTGGTTCTGAATGTCCTTTGCTTCCATGCCTCCTCCTGCCCTTGCACTGGGAGTCAGACCCACAACCAGCACCCAACTGGGGAGCCCCCCTCTTCATGCCAGGCTCACCCCTCACCTCCTCTCAGAACCCAGGTGTGCAGCCCAGCTCTGTGCACCAGGGAGAAGAGAGGAGAGAGATGACACACACAGGGCCACTAACGGTCAGGCGGTGGGGGAGGGGAGGAGGGGGAAGAGGCCAAAATTTAGCACAGCAGCTGCTGCAGTGCCTGGTGCTTGCCAAAAAGGCCCAGGCCTGAGAGATGGGGCAGGAGGAGGAGGGGGGGAGGAGGAGGAGGAGGAGGAGGAGGAGGAGGAGGAGAGGGGCCCTGTCCATGGTGCTGACAGTCTGCTCTGGGGTGACCCACGGGCTGTGCTAGTGGCTTGTGAGTGCTGACAATGCTCCCTCTTAGCTTCTGGCCCTGCTTCCTTTCTCTGGTGGCCACTGAGCCCCATGGGACATCATCTGGGGGACCTGACCTGGAAGTCTGCCTTATCCTTCCTGAAGACAATCCCCTTCACCGTAGCATGAGGCAGCGTCCCTTCCTGGAAGGGCTGTTGTGAGGAGGAGTTGAGTTGATATGTGGCAGATGCCAAGGACAGCCCTTGTTGCCTTGTAGTGGATGCCTAACTCCTTCTTCAGACCCTGCCAGTGACTCGGCTCCCTCCCGCCTCTCTGCCCCTACCCACCCTGGTCCAAGATGCGCCTGGCTTCTTAAAATCCTCCCAGCGCCTGCATACCCAGAGTCACCTTTTGGCTCTTATATCCCCCCACCCAGGTCTGTTCTTGTCTCTCCCCTTTAATCCTCAGGTAGGTGGGGGGATCAAGGTTAATCCGGGGGCAGCAGCTGTTCCTATTTCTGAGCACCTAATTGCTGAGAGGGCGGGGATGGGATTGAACACTCCACCTTGCAGCCAGGCCTGGCAGCTGCTCCACACGGCCAACCATCCCCTCTCCCATCACGTCTGCTCTGCAGAGCCTACTCTCTGGACCACTCCCTGTGTAACTTCTGGAGGGACAGTCAGATCCTTTTCCACTCTCTCTATTCTCCTGCCCTTTGTTTCTAACCAGCTGCCTGTCCCTCCCCTCTCCCTGCCCCCAGGCCACAGTTCCAGCACTGCTGCACCCTGGGTCCAGGGTTCTCTGTTCTCTGAAATGTCCCTGCTGGGGAGTGGGCAGCCTGCTCCAGGACTTGCCTTCTGCTTCTGCCCACCCTGCTGGCCCTAGCCCCCACTTCTTTGCCTCGTCATAGCACCCCCAGCTTTGGCCTGAGCTCTCTTTCTGTGTAGCTTCTGGCTGACTTTGCTTTCATCCCTCCACCTAGTTGGGTAGGCTCCCCTGGGCTTGCCTTCCTGACCTCCCCCGACACCGCAAGACCTGTCTCAGGACTGCAGGATTTAAGAGAAAGTGCCAATGTGCTGACTCAAGAAAAAAAATGCAATGTTGCATATTCATGCGCTTCTCATTTTTGTTTACTCTCAAAGTACATAGAACTTTTTCTGTTCTTGGCTCCTTTTGCTCAGCTTTTTCTCCTTAATGCTTGGCTATACCTGAAAAAGCAAGAGATTGGGTCACATTCAGGCAGAACAAGCAGCACTGACACCACCTCTCACTTGCCAACAGGGCCTAGTCTGACGCCTCTGGAATCTTCTAGGGACATTGGGGCTGTGAGCGAAGGCTGTGGAGCCAGACTTACCATGTTTATTCCTTGGCCAGCTTACCTAGCTTCTCTGTGACTCAGTTTCCTCATCTGTATCGTGAGGATGATGAACCTCTGCCTTTCATAGGGTTTTGGGAGAAGTGAGTACATTCACACACGCCAAGGATCTGAGTATTAGAATAGCGCCTGTGCCTAGCAAGCAGACAGCTGGTGGTCACCAACATGACCTCTCCCCACCACTCACCCCTTCTGCTGTTACTGCTCTAACCTAAGCTGGCCCTGTACCTTGCCCGAGCTCGTGTTCTCACTCCATCTCTGTCCCTTGGGCTGTGGGTGTCTTCTGGTCTCTTTCCATTTCTCTATTGCGGATCGAGAGGGGGGAACATGGGAGAATATCGGTCTCGAATCCCAACACCACCACCGACCAGCTGCAGGACTGTGACCTGCGGCGAGTTTCTCGTCCTCTGCCCTTTGGTTCCATCATCTGTAACTGGAGACTCCACTTCCCTCTCAGCGTTGCTGCGACGATCACTTGAGCTCTGAGTCACACCATCCTTCCCCTCTCCTCCCGGTTCTTCTCTCTTTGGCCCACAGACACTGGCTTTCCTCTGCCTACACGCAATTTGCTGTGCCCTACTTCATCTATGACATCTACGCCATGTTCCTCTGTCACTGGCACAAGCACCAGGTCAAAGGGCACGGAGGGGACGATGGAGCGGCCAGAGCCCCGGGCAGCACCTGGGCTGTGGTGCGTGGCTACCTGCACAAGGAGTTCCTCATGGTGCTCCACCACGCCGTCATGGTGCTGGTGTGCTTCCCGCTGTCGGTGGTGAGTCCTCGGGGCGCCCGGGGGAGCTGCGGGCCTGGGTACCAGCAGCGGGGAGGGCTCAACAGTGCCCCAGGAAAAGCTGTTGACCTGGAGGGTTCACTGAGCAGGAGGGTCTGTGCCATGCCCTGCTGTGGTGCTTTGGATCTGTTGCTGAGTGTCTCTGAGCCTCAGTTTCCTCACCTGTAATGGAGGGAATACAGTCCTACCTGCAGGACTGTTGGAGAGATACAGTGAGGTCATGCACCCAGCTTTGCAACTGTACCCACATGTCCAGATGCCCAGAGTTAAGCATCTCTGAAAGTGACAGCAGAGGGAGGGGAGCCCAGCGTGAGGCCCGGCCCACACCTTCCTCCCTCTCTGCTCAGGTGTGGCGACAGGGCAAGGGGGATTTCTTTCTGGGCTGCATGTTGATGGCAGAGGTCAGCACCCCCTTCGTCTGCCTTGGCAAGATCCTTATCCAGGTGAGAGGGCACCTGAGGGTGCAGGAGCCTGAAGAGAGGGCACAGGAAGGGAGGCACCTTCGGGGACTTTCAGGGATTGTGGGGGGAACTGCTGGCTGGGGCAGGGGGAGGCGGGGCGGGGGTGAGCAGGGGAGCAGGGCAGGGCACTCCGGCCACCCTCCATGTGTATCCACAGTACAAGCAGCAGCACACGCTGCTGCACAAGGTCAACGGGGCCCTGATGCTGCTCAGCTTCCTGTGCTGCCGGGTGCTGCTCTTCCCCTACCTGTACTGGGCCTACGGGCGGCACGCGGGCCTGCCCCTGCTGGCCGTGCCCTTGGCCATCCCGGCACACGTCAACCTGGGCGCTGCGCTGCTCCTGGCTCCCCAGCTCTACTGGTTCTTCCTCATCTGCCGCGGGGCCTGCCGCCTCTTCCAGCCCCGCTCCCCGCCGCCCTCCCCCTTCCAGGCCCAGGACTGAGGGGCCCTGGGGCCCTGCCCCTCCCCACCCCACCACCCTGGGGACAGGGCTGTGGGGCTGACGGGTGGGAGTGGCAGCCAGGGGCCCTCGCTGGACAGCCCCAGGACACGGGTGGACCAGAAAGGGGAGGGGCCCTCCCTCAGGGGCCAATGGCAGGGAGAGGGGGGACCTCTTCTCCCCACAGCGCCTGAGCCCAGACTGGCGACCCCTCCCTGTATACCTTTCACTGGAGCAGGGCAGGGGACACCACCTCCCGCCTGCCGAGGGCTGGAAGGCTCGTGGGGAGACAAGGATTCAAGGGGACCAGGAGTCAGGACATAGGGGAAGCCCCGCTGCCAAGGACATCCCTGCCCCTTGCTGCAACCCCCCTGGGCTCCCTGTCACTTGAGAGAGAGGACACCCTTAATTACCCCCCACCAGGGGCCGGCACCCCCAGAGCTCCTCTCCGGGGCAGGCCAGGCTGAGGAATCTTATTTATTTTATTTATTTGCCCAAATTCAGACTAGTCTGTTGGGGTGGGAGGAGGGGGGCGCTGCTACCCCCCAAACCTCAGCGCTGAGCAGCCCTGGGGCAGGTGAGGGCCGCCCAGTCCTTTCCCATTAGGCTGCACAGCTTGCCCTCAGGCCCTGGCATGTCCCTGGTGCTACAGACCTCTCAAGGCTTCCTCCAATCTGGGGTCGGGGGACCTGGGAGGTGCTTACAGACCGCTAATAAAGACGATCTGTGTGAACGCCACCAAGGCCCTCTTCACCCAGTTCTTTGGGGCCTGGAAGGGAGGAGGTGGGGGCACAGGCAGTGGAAACAAGGACATCCGCAAGAGAGGGCAGGACCACCGGCGCATCACAGCGCTGTCAGGGAGGAGAAAGCAAGGACTTTTATTCATCAGCAGGAGAGGAGGGAGGATTTGGGGCACCTGGGCTGAGTCCAGGGCCCTTGTCCACTCTTTAGGCTCCTTTCTGGAAGCTCCTGTGGGGCATGAAGGTCAGAGGTGGGAGGTCACACACTGCCCCCAGGATTGGGGTCCTTCAGCCTCTCTTGAGAAAGGTGGAGGCGAGTGTGGTCGGGGCAGAGGGCAGGCTTACACGTGGGTGCAGAACTGGAAGAGGAGGAAGAAGAAGGCCAGCACCAGCGCGCCCACCAGGATGTGTTGGAAGAGCTCCGAGTTGGAACCTGCTAGGCAAGGAGGGGGAGACGGGGACCTCCGACTCGCCTCCAGTGGGAGGTGATGGGCAGTTCTCCCCTAGGCCCCGGTTCACACCTGAGCGAGTAAAGACGACAGGTCTCTCTCCAATGAACCGGGCCACAGCCAGGACCTTGGCTTGGTCCGAGTCTGGGTAATCGAAGAAATCAGGTCTGTCTATGAAGACTGGGGACTCTGTGCCCAGGACTAAAGTCTTGGCGCGCTTTGGGCTGGGTGCTAGGACCCACAGCAAAGTCTGTGACAACAGCCAAACAGACCCCTGCCCATACCCCAAGAAGCTGAGGCTGCCTTATTGTGGCCCCAGAGGGGCTTGCATTTGTTCCTAGGGTCAGCTGAGCTCTCCATGAGAGGGCCCATGGTGGGGAGGGGGATGGGGACAAATGGGGAGGATGGGAGAGAAGGGTAGAGAGAAAAGAGAAAGGTCCAGGGTTGGCCTCCCAGTCCCTAAGGGAGCATTGCCCCTTACCCCCACAGCCTTCTTCCTTCCCACTGCTCCCCAAACAGTGCCCCACCTGTTTCTATGGCCCCCAGCCCAGCCAGCCACACCCACGCCAGCACCCACTGGCACAGCCTCATGGCCCCTCCACTCCAATTATGGGGTGGGGGCTCTATGATGTCACAGCCCAGAACCATTCTGAGTGCTTACTCTAGGGCAAGGGGATAGAGAAAGTGCTAGGATCTGGGACCCCCAGAATCAGAAGAAAAGAGGTTGGGACCAACAGAGCCCTCATCCTTTGGGACAATGCTGATGACAAAACCACGACAGTGGCAGCCCCAGAATCTACAAACAGGAGGGGCTTAGTAGGGCAATCTTGCTGAAAGCCAGAACTAAGGGAAGCTGCATTTGTACAGCAGGGACATTTTGGGGTGGGGGAACAGGGGTACTGCACGCCTCCAGTTAACCCTTGGATCAACCACAGGTGGTATTTATTGAGCATTTATTTCTAGTCCAAATACTTTGCGCAGATTGGCTCATTTAACCACTGCAACAACCCTACGAGGCAGTTACTCTTGTTCTCCTCGGACAGAAAGGAACCAAGACACAGAGAAGAAAAGTGATGTAGCGGTGCACACTAACCAGGGGTGTGTGCCTTCCTCCCCGAGGCTTCCCTCTTGCCCAAATTCTGGGAACAGCGGTCTCCAGATCCAACCCCAAACCGGGTCTCATTGCCCAGCTGAGAGTGAGAATGAGGTTCCTCGGCCTGGGAACCAAGAGAAGTAACAGCCCCTCCCCGCTAGGTGGCAGCAGTGTCCGCGCCTGGCTGCTCACCTCGCCCGCCGGCGCCCCCAGGCCCTCCTCCCGCCTCTTCCCACAGGTTGCAACTGGTGCTGCAGGAAAACCGATCGCTGCGGAATGGCAGCCGGGGGCTTGTCAGAGGAAGTCCTCGGGCCCATTCCGAGGCAGGTCTCCTGGCCATCCACAGAGCCTTGGTTGACTCCCCTCGCTGTGTCTCAGTTTCCCCTTCTGCGGCCGGTGGGCTCTCCCAGGGGCCATCCCGTTTCCGCTCTGAGTCACACTGCCCAATAGCCATTCCCACCCCTGTGGCCCCAGATACCCTGTGGCCGCTTAGGGTGTAAGGGTTAGCTCCCTTCTGATTGGCAGGTAGGCCTGTCTGTCACAGACATGTTCCATCCCCCAAGCCCAAGGACACTTCAGGGTCTCCTTAGTTTCACGACTCAAGTGCCTTTTCAACAGCCTCTGGCACACCCAGGGCCGTGGCTTCCCCACAGCCACGCGTGTGTCCGTGGCGTGTGTGAGCCTCTGCCCACAGATGGAGGCTCGCTCCTGGGCTGGGTGCTCCACCTCTACATCTTTCCTGCCCCCAGGGCCCCCAGGGTCCCAGCCCACCTGTGTGTCGCACGGCAACCCTGGGAGGTACTCACCCCAATCTGGGTCTAGCTCCTAGACAAGAAAAAGTCCAAAAAGGAAAAAGGAAAAGGAGGAGGGGACTAACACCGAAGGGGCCTCTTTGGGACTGGCCCTGCGGGGGGCTGCTTCTCCTGCTCATCTCTTCTTTCAAAGAGGAAGTGATTTACCCAAAACCGCAGGGCATGTGGGGGGTGCAGAGGCTCAACAGCCTGGCTCCTGACTCAGGGCGGGGACTCCAGCCCCAGGCCTGTGTGCAGCTGCTCCTCCTGGTTAGCTGGGAGAAGGGGTCCACAGCCGGTAGCCTTTGGGGCTGATTTTTTAGCTTCCTCTATTGCCTCAAAAGAATACAGCTGCTCTCGCTACAAGAAAAGGCCCTTTTGACTCCAACAGTGAATTATCCACTCATCCATTCATCCAACCATTAAATACACGTATTGAGCTCCCGCTATGTGCTGGCTGGATTCCATTTACAGCTTAGATAGAAATCACCAGGGCATGGTCTCTGCCCTTCGGAATCACGGGGAGAGAACGCATGGATGTGCAGTGTTCTAGTATAGATGGACAACTCCTAAGGAGTTGTCTACACTTGCTGTCTCCACTCTCTCACCTTTAATGTATTCTTCACCCTCTTGTGGTCTGTATTTGTCCCCACCACTGCACTGAAGCCACTTTGGGCAAGTCTACCAATGACCTTGGATTTGCCAAATCTAATGGTTACTTCTCTTTCCATTCTGTCTCTCAGCAGGGGTACACCTGACCCTAACTCTGGGCATAGGAGCCACACTCACCAATTGTTGGGACTCCTCCTTCTCTAGCCAGCTCAGCCTTGGGCATTTTCTTTTCTATCTATATTCTCTCTGCCTAGGTGATCTCATCCAGACTCATGGCTTTAAATACCATCTATATGCTGGTGACTCACAAATGCATATTTCCAGCCCAGACCTCTCCTCTGAGTTCCAGACTCCTATAGCCAGCTTCCTGCTTGATGTCTCTTGTTTGTATGTCCAAAAACATCTCCAATGCAACAGCTCCCAAATGGAGCTCTTAAGTCTCCTACCCGAACCTGCTCCTTCTCTCATCTTTTCATCTCAGCAAATGGTCCCACCACTTCCCTGCATGTTCTGCTCAACACAGGAACCCAGGAAGCATCTCAGCTCCCTCCCAGCTCTCATTTGACAAATACCCAGTTAAGACCTGTTGGTTCAGGCTGGGCGAGGTAGCTCACGCCTGAAATCCTAGCACTCTGGGAGGCTGAGGTGGGTGGATTGCTCGAGGTCAGGAGTTTGAAACCAGCCTGAGCAAGAGCGAGACCCCGTCTCTACTATAAATAGAAAGAAATTAATTGGCCAACTAACATATATATAGAAAAAATTAGCCTGGCATGGGAGTGCATGCCTGTAGTCCCAGCTACTCGGGAGGCTGAGGCAGGAGGATCGCTTGGGCCCAGGAGATTGAGGTTGCTGTGAGCTAGGCTGATGCCATGGCACTCACTGTAGCCTGGGCAACAAAGCGAGACTCTGTCCCCCCCCCCCAAAAAAAAAGACCTGTTGGTTCAATTTCCAACAGAGATCCCAGATCCATCCACTGCCCTTCCCTCCACTGCAGCCCTCCCCGTTCAAGCCGACACCGTGTTTCACTTGGCTTACTCTAGCAGCCTGTGGACTGGTCCATCCACGTTCACTCCTACCCTCTAAGACCCATTCCCCAACTATGGGCCAGAAAAATAAGAACACAAGGATCCACTACTTAAAACCCTCCAGTGACTTCCTGTTGCCCCTGGTATTCTGAGCATTTCCCCTTTGCTTGCAAGACTCTGGCTGGCCAGCCCCTGCCACTGATCCACCTCTACGTTCTCATCCTTCCCCTCCTCAGCACACCCAACCATACTGGCCCTCGGGTCGTTCTTTGTATACGCCTGGTTCCTGACTGCCTCCCAGCCTTGGCACGGATCTCTGCCTGGGATACCCCTGCCTCCACGCTTGGCCCTAGCTAACTCCTCCTCATCTTTCAGGGCTCAGCAGAGACAAAACTTCCTCTGGGAAGTGAGCCCTGGGCTCCCATGGCTCTCTGACCATCCCTATTGTTGTGGCTGTCTCCCCAAATTGGAACTGCCTGTGTGTTTGTCTATCTCCCCTCGGAGGCGGAAGCCAGAGGTCATTGCTCTTGGCCATAGTTGTATCACCTCTATCTGTAGTAGGTAGTCAATAAACATTTACTGAATGACTAGATGGCTGACTGGTGGATGGAAAGCCTTCCATCTCTGGACAAACCAGGGCTTGGCACTGCCTGCTATTTTCCTCCACAGTTGGCTCAGCTCCTCATCCTCACCTGCCTTCAACACGGCTTTCTGGAGGCTTGCTGGCCCGGGAGCACTGAGGGGAGAGCACTGGAGGAGATAGGACTTTGCAGACTCTTGGGCCATGTTGCCATGGACACTGTCCTGTTGAACCCACCAGCTGTGGCCCTGGATGGCATCTCCCTTAGTTCTGCTTCCTTTCTTACCCTGGAGAGCCAGGAAGAAAACCTAATGGGTTGCCTTCACTTTAAAAATGTATTCTCTTAATGTAGTCTTTGGAATGGGTAACCTATCACGTGGCACAAAATTCAAGAAATCCAAAAAAGATGTATGTTGAGAAAGAAGTCTTTCCTATTCCTGCTTTACCTCCTCAGAGGCCACCATATTTATTTATTTATTTATTTGTTTGTTTGTTTGTTTGTTTGTTTATTTATTTATTGAGACAGAGTTTCGCTTTGTTGCCCAGGCTAGAGTGAGTGCTGTGGCGTCAGCCAAGCTCACAGCAACCTCAATCTCCTGGGCTCAAGCGATCCTCCTGCCTCAGCCTCCCAAGTAGCTGGGACTACAGGCATGAGCCACCATGCCTGGCCAAGTTTTTCTATATATATTAGTTGGCCAATTAATTTCTTTCTATTTATAGTAGAGATGGGGTCTCGCTCTTGCTCAGGCTGGTTTCAAACTCCTGACCTTGAGCAATCCACCCGCCTCGACCTCTCAGAGTGCTAGGATTACAGGCGTGAGCCACCACACCCGGCCACCATAGTTATTTTCTTGTGCAGCCTTCCAGAAATAACCTAATGCACAAATAAACATGTGTAAATTCTTTTCCCCAGTCAAATGGCAGCATTCCATAATGCTGTTCTGCACCTTGCTTTTTTAAGTTAAAATGAGATTGTGAAGATGATTCTATACAGGTGCAAAGGAGCCTCTGTGTTTTTCATGGCTGCATACTATTTCATTGAAATTATTCATTATGCATTATTTCATCATATGAAATTATGTCACAACTGATTAAACCAGTCCTCTACTTGTGGACATTTCGGTTGTTTCCAGTCTTTTGGAACATGCTGTAGTTCAGAGTCTTGAACTTGTATTATTTTGCTCATGGGTCAGCATATTTATAGCATAAAATCCTAGCAGTGGAATTTCTGGGTCAAAGAGTATGTGAATTTGTCATCGTGGGGTCCACTGTGAGACTGGAGTAGGCAGAGGGGTCGCCCACTTACCCACGGTCTTTCCAACATTGTGCGTTAACAGACACTTTGATTTTGCTCATTTGACAAGGGACAAATGGTATCTCAGTATAGTTTGACTTTACATTTCTCTTGCTTTCCTTTTTTTTTTTTTTAAGAGACAGCATCTTGCTATGTTGCCCAGGCTGACCTCAAACACTCAAGCCCACCTCAGCCTCTGCACTTGGCCCCATTTCCCTTACTTTTATAAAAAAATTGTGGTAAAATACACATAACAAAATTTACCATCTTTAACCATTTTTAAGTTACAGTTAGTGTTAGGTATATTTACATTGTTGCATAATCACATTTCTCTCTTTTAAAGAACAATATTTAGGGATGCCGACTTAGTGCCAGGCCCGGTTTGGGGCACTGGGGACTCGGAGATGAATCAGCCTCTGCTCGCTGTGGAACTCCCTGGCTTGGTGGGGGAGGCACAGGCAAAACAGTGCCGGCAGAGCTGAGTCCCAGCTCGCGCTGGAAGCTGAGGGGCAGCGGGGGCTGCTCCAGGAAGGCTCCTAGGAAGAGGTGACTCAGGATGACTCCTGAAGGAAGGGCAGGAAGGTCTCCCAGGTAGAGCAGCGTCTGTGAGCAAAGGTCCAGCGGCTGAGAAATCAGGGAACTGCTGTTCTAGGAACTGCAGGTAACTCTGATGCGGTGGGCAGCGGGGTGATGAGGTCCTTTATCTTTCGGCGATGGTAAGTTTGGGGCAAAAGAGAGCGAAGACCAAAGGCTAGGGCCCGACTGACAGACCGGGGTGGCAGGCGTGGGGCAGGGCGGAGCAGGGAGGCGTCGTGGGGGTGGCAGTGTTGGGTGAGAAGTGGCAGACGCAGAGGACGACCGCAAGGACCTGGGCATTCAGAGCCAAGCCCCGACGCCCCCTCCGCACCTGCAGGACAGAACTGGAGATGGGGTGGGGTGAGGGAGAGTGGATCCCCAAAGGAGATGACATCCCTGAGACACCGGCCCCAGGAGACTGGTTTGGGTAACAGGTAGAGACGCCTGAACAGCCAAAGGGAGGAGGCGTGGGGGAAGCCACAGTCTCAGGCCTGTCTCCTCCCTCGGACTGTGAGGCTCCCCAGCCAGCCGCTCTCCGCTCGGACACCGGGAGGTCCCAGGCCAGCGACAGCAAGTGCCTCAGACCCCTGGGCCTGCCGGCCCCTGGGTGACTGCGGATCTCTAAGCCCCGCCCCTACGGATATGGGGAGGGGGCGGGCAGACGCCCCGCGCTCTCTGCGGGGGAGGGGCGTGAGGAGGTGCGGGGTTGTGGTGGGTGGCGAGTTGGCGTCGCCATGGCAACTAGAAGGGTGGTCTGCCCGGGAGACCCAAGGGGGAAGAAGGGAGGAGGAGAGGCAGGGAGGCGCCAGGGCTCCGCGGGGGCGGCGCGGGCCTGGGTCTCCCGGGAGGACCCGGGGAACACCCGGCAATTCTCGCCGTGGGTTCCTGGTGGCGCAGGGAGCCCGCGTGTTTGCGAGTGTGTGTATGCGAAGTTCTCCGGGTGAGTGTGCCAGCGCGTGTCTGGGTTTGTGCATGGGGGTGAGCGTGCACATGTGGACACACGCGCGTGTGTGCGTGCGCGCGGGCACTCGTGTCGGCGTGTGTGCACTCGCGTGTGCTCCCGAGCGGCCGGGCGGGAGCCGGTGTGAGCCGGAGAGTCCCGCCCCCTCCCCAGCCCGGCCGCCCCTCCCCGCCCCCTGCCGCCTGCGCCGGCTGCATCAGCGCCGCCACCTCGCTCACCCCCTCCTCCCCGCACTTTCTCTGCTCCCTGCTCTCGCTCGCACAGCCGGACTCGGGCTCTTCTCGCTGGCCGCCCTGGGAATCGCCGGCCGCCACCGCCCAGCCTGCACCCGCCGTCCCCCACCCCGTGCCCGGGCACCTGTTGGAGGCAGAGACAGGTGCAGGGGGCTGGGCCGGCTGGGGGCGTGAGGGTGAGGGGGAGCGTCTTAGTTTGCTGGGTTCCGGGGGTGTTTCGCTCTCCTGCCGCTGCGATTTCTGGTGCCCCTGGGGAGCCAAGCTCTGGAGGAGGCATCTGAGGCAGGGTCTCCACCTGGGGCTGCGGAGGGGCCAGGGAACCCGCAGGCAGACAGAGCCTGAGCTTGAATGAAGGGACAGTGGGAAGTGGAAGCCTGGAGGGGTGGTTGATAACCTGACCAGACCAGCGGCTGGTGCAAAGGAGGCAAGGAGCCTCAGAGAGACAGGCGGGGACCTCTGGGGATGTTGGGAGTAGGCAAGGCTCAGGGGCAGATGGAAGCCCAGAATGAGAAGAAGCAGCTGGAAAGATGACAGAGGGACAACCTAGAGGTAGGTGGGCAAGGGAGGCTGTCTTCGGGGAGTGGGCTGGCAGCCCGGCCCCTGTGGAGCAAGGCCTGGGGTGTGGAGGGCCAGGCCTCCAGCCTGCACCACTGGCACAGGCCACTCTGTCCCTCGACACCTAGGAAGGGAGGCCAGTGAGGGCCCACAGACCGAGGAGGTTGCTGCTGGGCCCTCAGCCACCAATGGTAGGTACGAGCAGTCAGCCCTGGCTCAGGCTCGCGCACACCCCCTCCCCCAGCCAGGGGTGCTGCATGAGGGGCCGCAGGGGCGACCGCATGACCATCAACATCCAGGAGCACATGGCCATCAATGTGTGCCCGGGGCCCATCCGGCCCATCCGCCAGATCTCCGACTACTTCCCCCGCCTGGGACCAGGACCCGACGGGGGTGGAGGCGGCTGCGGGGAGGCCCCTGCTCGTCTGGCCCCCCTGGCTCTGGCCCCTCCTGCAGCTCTCCTTGGGGCCACCACGCCTGAGGACGGAGCTGAAGTGGACAGCTATGACTCGGATGATACCAGTGAGTCTGGGGGGTGTGAAGGGGCCTCCAGGCGTGTGGGGAGGGGACAAGCCCTGCTGGGTGTGCGTGGGGGGGGCAGCGGGGACTGCTGCCACAGCTGCAGTCAGTGTGGAGATTACAGCTTCAGCAAGGCTCAATATTCAATATTTCTGCTGAGACACTCCGCCACCCACACAGCCCCAGTCGTGGCCGAGGCACGGACCCAGACGCGCACACACATGCCCACTCAGCCTCTTGCACACACACTCTCGGCTGCTGGAGATGGAGACACGCATCCGCTGCCTCCCGCCGTCTCATACACACCTGCCTTCACCCACTGACTCATGCTACCTTTCCCCTCTCCAGCTGCCCTGGGCACGCTGGAGTTTGACCTTCTCTACGACCAGGCCTCCTGCACCCTGCACTGTAGCATCCTCAGGGCCAAGGTGGGTGCTCCCGGCCTCCCAACCCCTGGCCCTGTTTGCCTCCCAGCCCAGGAGGGGTGGTGGCTTTCCATCCTTCCCTCCCTTCCCCAGGACAAATGCCTGCTCCTTTCCTCCCCACCCCACCACCCTCCTTCTTGGCTCTGCACACCTCAGGGGCCAGCTCTGTGGAGGGAGGGAGGGAGGGAGGATGGGAGGATGGGAGTCCACAGCCCTCTTCCCGCCCTCCTCTCCAGGGTCTCAAGCCCATGGACTTCAATGGCCTTGCAGACCCCTATGTCAAGCTGCACCTGCTGCCTGGAGCCTGCAAGGTGACAGCCTTCTCTCTCCCCAGCCTGGACCAGCTCAGGGGTGCGGGGTCTGTCCTAGATTTCCCCAGCCTCTGCCTTCAGTCTTTGTGGGTCAGGGTACATGTGTTCAGAATACTTCGTCCCCACACCCCAGGCCAATAAGCTAAAAACGAAGACTCAGAGGAACACGCTGAATCCCGTGTGGAACGAGGACCTGATGTATAGTGGAATCACAGATGACGACATCACCCACAAGGTGCTCAGGTGAGGGCTCATCCTCCCCAGTACCAAGGACTGCAGCCTAGCACCTCCTCTGGGATAGCTCACACCCCCTCCCCCAGCCAGGGGTGTTGCATGAAGGTGTCATTGTAACCTTCTTTGGTTGATTGATCCATGTCCCATTAAGACCCTACCTCTCTGAAGCTCAAGAATAATCAGTGGCTTCCCAAACCCTCCAGCAGCATGCCAAAGTATTTCCCTGGCATTGCTGCCCCCAAAGCTTCTCCTACTGCTCCTTGAGGAGAGCACCGCCTTCTTCCGACTGGCTGCTTTCCTAACTCTGGAACTTTGCCTGTTGTGTCTCTTCCACCTGGAAAGCACCCTCTGCTTCCTCTCTGCCAGCCTAAATCCACTCATGTGAGCCCCAGTCCAAGCTCTGCCTCCTCCTGAAAACTACCCCCTGGTCACTGAGACCCTTTCTCAGAGCCCCTGGCTGGAGTCAGACCTATGCAGCTTTGGTCTGTCCCTTCTGTTCCCCTAAAATCTCTAGGGAGTGATGTCTTCAGGGACAGGGAGCTCGCTCCATCATCCCAGGAGATGGAGATTTCAGGAGAGTATTCCCTCAAGGGCAGTGGAGGGCAGCAAAGCTCGGGCTGGAAGAGACCTCTTTCTTTGTTGTTGGGCAGTAGGGAGCCACAGAAGGGGTTTGCATGAGGGAAGGGGTGTGATCAGGGTTGCTTTAGAGCTCACCTTGGTGCTGGGTGTGTAGGCAGGCTGGGGGAGGCTGGAGGCAGCACCAGAAAGGCTGGCCCCATGTTCCAGAGGTGAAGGAATGAGGCCTAAAATGACAGTGCTCACTAGTGGCCAGCTCTGGGCTAAGCATTAATGTAAAATTTTCTTTCACTTGATTATCTCCCTTTTACAGATAGCAGTCGAGGTTTAGGGATATTGACTTGCCCAAGGTCACACAGGTGGCTTAAAAGTAGCAGGGCTGGGCTTTGAACACCCTACATGCCACAGCTGCCCAGCATAGCAGCAGGTCACAGTAGAAGCAGCACAGAGACTGAACAAGGGGAGGGGCAGAAGTCAAAGCAATCTTTTTTTTTTTTTTGAGAGTCTTGCTCTGTTGCCCAGGGAGAGTGCAGTGGCATCATCATAGCTCACAGCAACCTCCAACTCCTGGGCTCAAGCGATCCTCCTGCCTCAGCCTCCTGGGTAGCTGGGACTACAGGCACGTGTGCCACCATGGCCAGCTAAATTTTCCATTTTTAGTAAAGACAGGGTCTTGTTCTTGCTCAGGCTGCTCTCAAGCTCCTGAACTCAAGCAGTCCTCCCGCCTAGGCCTCCCAGAGTGCTAGGATTACAGGTGTGAGCCACTGCACACAGCCAAAGCAATCATTTTTTAATCGGTGGGCTCATGTGTCCTTGCAGGCTGGTTCCATGCAGAAAGGGACAGAAGGGCCTGAGGAGATGTGGGGTTCCCGTCTGGCTGCCCAAGGCTCCTCAAGGCCCTTTTAGCTCTTACAGCCTACATCTATGGCGGTATCCACCAACACCCACCATGTGTTCAGTCAGACCCAGCCCCAGACCCTGAGAGGAGGCAGTGAGTGGGGTGGGCCCCATGACTTTTAAGGGCTTCTGGCAGTGGCTGAGCAGGTCCTGATGAACAAGGTGAGCCTGAGCAGCTGGAGAGGGGGCAGAGGAACAGACAAATCCAATTGTCCCTCTCAGGCTCCAGCCTGTTTTCCAGACAAGGTGGGGAGTATTTAGGGCAGAACTGGGGTGGGCCTGAGGATCTTTCTCCCACATTGGAGCAGGGCTCAGGACCCCAGGGGGCCCTGACCCTGCAGTTCCCCGCCAGGATTACTGTCTGTGACGAGGACAAGCTGAGCCACAATGAGTTTATCGGGGAGATCCGAGTGCCCCTCCGCCGCCTCAAGCCTTCACAGAAGAAGCATTTTAACATCTGCCTTGAGCGCCAGGTTCCGGTCTGTGTGGGGGCTGCGGGGACTCCAGGGGGAGGGACCCTGAGGAGGCCAGGTTTCTAGAACCTTCTCTCTGCCCCCTCAGCTGGCTTCACCCTCTTCCATGTCGGCGGCGCTGAGGGGCATTTCTTGTTACCTGAAGGAGGTGAGGCACCTCACAGGGACCATATCTGGGTGGGAGGTGGTGGAGGACCCAGGCTGACCCCTGCATCTGTCTGCTGCAGCTAGAGCAGGCGGAGCAGGGGCCTGGGCTGCTGGAAGAGCGTGGCCGCATCCTGCTCAGCCTCAGCTACAGCTCTCGGCGCCGGGGGCTGCTGGTGGGCATCGTTCGCTGTGCCCACTTGGCTGCCATGGACGTCAATGGCTACTCCGACCCCTATGTTAAGACGTGAGCCCTCGCCCTAAGGCCTGCTCTGCCCTCCCCAGGGAGCCTGGCCCCTGCCCCATGTTCCTTTGGGGCCTGTCCTGTCCCTAACTGCATGACTCCTCTCTCTCCACCCCTAGGTACCTGAGACCGGATGTGGATAAGAAATCCAAGCATAAGACGTGTGTGAAGAAGAAGACCCTAAACCCAGAATTTAACGAGGTGGGCAGGGCAGGGACCAGAAACACAGGAGGGCTAGGGGAGTTGGGGGAGAGGGCTTTGTGGAAGGTGCCGCTTGCCTTGTCCCCCAGGAGTTCTTCTACGAGATGGAGCTCCCCACTCTGGCCACCAAGACTCTGGAAGTCACAGTCTGGGATTATGACATTGGCAAATCCAATGACTTCATCGGTGAGGGAGGAGCCTGGCCGCGTGGTGTTGGGGGAGGGCAAATGACAGGAAGAGGGGTCCTGACTCTGCCTGACCCCCAGGTGGCGTGTCCTTGGGGCCAGGAGCCCGTGGCGAGGCCCGAAAGCACTGGAGCGACTGTCTGCAGCAGCCAGACGCAGCCCTGGAGCGCTGGCACACCCTGACCAGCGAGCTGCCCCCAGCAGCTGGGGCTCTGCCTTCGGCCTGAGCAGACCACAGCTGCCCAGCGACCCTTCTGGCTGGGTCCAGTACCCAACCTTTGCACGAGTGTGTTGCACGTTTACATGGGGTGGGCTGCCCCTGCCCCGCACTACCTGTCTTATTTTTGTGAGAGTCTCCGTGACCGTGGGTCTGTCTTCTTGTGAGGGATTGTGGAGATCTATATTCATATATGCAAACTTCCTCCTGCCTGACTAGCTATTACCTGCAAATATGCAAACCACCCGTCCTCTGCACACGTGCGGGGGTGCTGTCAGAGCCCCCGCCCCAAGCCCCTGCTGCTCTTCTCTCCTGCCTCTCCACGCTGCCCGTCCCCTCCCCCCACAGGGAGGAGGTCGGATTAGGGGAGGTTCAGAGGAGGATGTTTCCAAAACAGAAAAGGACAAACAAACAAAAAAAACCCCAGAGCCACCTCTTTAATATAGAATCTTCATTTAAAAAAAAAACAACAAACAACAAAACCTAGCCCTGTACAGCTGCCCTTTTAAAGGGGTGGCCACTGTGGAGTCTGCCTCCTCAAGAGGTGGCAGATGCTCACGGCCACTTATCTAAATACTGTCCCCTAGATGGGGCCAGGATGTGAAGGCAGGGCCCCTGCCACCCTCCTGGAGGACATTCGTGCATGTTTACGCCTTTTCTGATTGTGTCAGTGGCCAAAGCATGGCAACTGGGCACCAATAAACATCTCTGAGGAAGCTGGGGGCTTGCGTGTGCTGGCACGGGGAGGGGCGCCGGGCAGGGGCTTGGCACACAGCAGCGGGTGGTCACTCCGGGATGTCGATTACCAGGTCATCGTCCCCGTCCAGGGCATCATCCCCGCTGCCTGCATCGCTGAACATCTGCCGAGGGACGGTGCTCAGGATCGTGGGGGGGTGCATCTTGGGGGGCGGGAGGGGAGTCAGGGCTGCCCCAACCCCAGCCCCAGAACCCCGGCCAGGGAAGGTCAGCGGCCCTCCCACAGGACAGTCGGGGGGTCCCACCGCCATCTGTAGCAGGGGAAGAAACACAGGGAGGGCTCGTCAGGGAGGCACTGGGACCTCCAGGAGGCTGGGCACTGACCCCCCAGGGCAGCTCTGGGGATGGGAAGGGGCCATGGGCACAGCCCGGCCAGCCAGTGCTGGAATCAGGGCCCTGCCCCACTTCAGCCCCTTCAGAGTCTTAAACCAGCAAGTGCCTGGGGGTGAAGGGTGGTGATGGAGGCGAAATGAGGGGGTGGGGTTCTCACAGGAAACCGGAGGGAAAAGCTGGGTCCTGCCCTCTCCAGGGAGGCACCTTGGCTGCCACTGTAACAGCGATTAACACCAGAGTCAGCCTGGAGTGCCTGCCTGCCTGCCTCTGGGCACCTCGTATACTGCTCGCCACCACTGGCTGCTTCTCTCTTCTCCGTGAGGGTATCGCAGGCCGCCCCAGCCAGGAGCCTGGGCAGCTTCTTGGCCCCCCAGGAACTTCTGTTGTATGTTGGTTGGGGCCCCTCCTTGGGATCCCCGTAGCCATTGGCCTAGACCAGGCCCTCCTCTCGGCTCACCTGTGCTATGGGACCAGCCTCCTAACTGGACTCCCTGCCTTCAGCCTCTCCCCGATCCAGCTCCTCCTCCACACTGCAGCCAGAGTGATCTCTCTACAACACAAACCTGCGCATGTCATTCTTCCACTCCGGGACTCTCAGGCTCCTCGCTGCCCTCAGGACAGGCAGTGCAACACGCCTGACAACAGGCTGGCCCCTCCACCTGAGGCATCCTTCTCTAGTTGGAAAAAGTCCTGCTTTGTCCTCTAAGACCGGGAAGTGGCCTCTCTCCTGCCCAACCCTCCAGCCCCACCCTGCCAAATCCTCCCCATGGAGAGCTCTGGGCTGTGACAGCCCCCATGCTTTGCCTGTGGGTACAAGCCAAGCACCTACTATGTGCCAGGTGATTTCCGTTGATGATCTTTAACCTTTAGGACACACTGGGAGGGAGGAGAGGTCAAATGCCAGAGGAGAACACTGAGATTTGGAAACAGAGGCCTGAAGGAGCAGTCCATGGGGGTCCCACTGGGCAGCATCCAGTCTGGCCTTGGGGTGGTGTGGGGAGCCAGCACGAGTCAGGCCTCGGGTGCAGGGGCTTGGCAGGACTGGTGACCATCAAGGGGCCCAAATCTGAACAGCGCCCCTGCACCAGTCCCAGGCACCCATGTGTACACACGGGAGCAGACAAACGTGCACAACCAAAAGGGACAGCTGCCTGAGGACTGCCCCCTCCTCTGGCTCCACCTCTCCATCTTGACCCTATGCCCGTGTGCTGCCCTTGCCTGGGCTTACTCAATGACCCCTCGCCATGACCTGCAATGGCTCATGTCTACCTGGGACTCACAGGGGCCAGGCTCCGGGCTCAGTGTTTTTTACCCCTTAACTCATATTCTCCTCAGAATGACCCCACTGAACAGAGAAGAAAGCTGAGGCTCAAAGAGTTAAATGACATGCCCAGGGTCACAGTGAGTAGGTGGAAGAGCTGGGATTCCAACTCTGATTCTAACTCCAAGTCTGACTCAGGCCCAAGCCTTAAGCGACCTCTTCAGTCCTCATAGCTGCCCCAGCTCTGCTCAGACTTGCCACCTCCCATCATACCAAGTCTCCCACAACTTCAGGAACCCCCACTCCCTCCTTGGTGGCAGGCAGACTCCCACTTCTGGGAGTGCAGGCCTCTGTAACCCCACCCCAACCTAATTTTCATTCCAATGTTGTTCTCCCTAAGCACTCCAGCTCCAGCCCAAACAATACTTTCACTGTGTCCCTGTCTCCCTTCCCATGATGGCCTCAGCCGGGAATATCCAAATCTCACTCCTTCTGGGCCCAAATGTTCTCTTCTTTGAAACCTTTCCTGATTTATCCTGCCCCCGCCCCCCCCCCTGCAGTCACTGACTGGGGCCCCCTCTCAGCCCACACTTCTCCCCTGTACATCCAGAACTTAGCTCCCTGATGGTGCTCCACTGCAGGGCCCAGTGCCAGCCAGAAAGCCCCAACAGGCCCCTGCTGACGCAGTGCCACACCCCCACCCGCTTGCACTGGCTGCGTGCACCCCTGCCTTCTCCACCACTCTGTCCTCTAGGCCAAAAGCAAAAACCCTGCTAAGAAGAGCAAGGGCCAGCCTTACCACCCCCATTTTTCAGGTTCCAGAGCTTAAGTAAACAAGGGAGTAAATGGAAGAGCTGGGATGTGAACTCCAAAACCCACACTCCTAACCACCATGCACACAGCCTCCCATCTGGCTTCTGGCTCCAGAACCTTGAAAACTGTCCAGTCTGATCCCTATTCACCTGTTCAACTTTTTGCTGTTGAGACAGGGTCTTGCTCTGTCTCCCTGGCTAGAGTGCCGTCGCATCATCCTAGCTCACAGCAACCTCAAACTCCTGGGCTCCAGCGATCCTACTGACTCAGCCTCCTAAGTAGCTGGGATTATAGGTGTGCACCACTGCACCTAGCTAATTTTTCTATTTTTTGCAGAGATGAGGTCTTGCTCTTGCTCAGACTGGTCTCGAACTCCTGGCCTCAAGTGATCCTCCAGCCTCAGCCTCCCATAGTGCTGGGATTACAGGCGTGAGCCACCGTGCCTGGCCTCCTATTCGACTTTGATGCAGAGGTAGAAGGGCACTGAGCTGGTCCGTGTCCTCAGATGGCCCTCTTCACTGCCCTGGGGGCTCAGGGAGCAGTGCCCCCCTTCTCTACACACACGCTCACCCATCCCCATGCATGGATCTACCTCCATGCTGCCTACTTCTCATCGTCATCCCCGTGAACTGCAGGCTCATGTACCCCGTTGCCACAGGCATTTCCAGATGGCATCTCAGCATGTCCATAACCAAACACCTCATCTTCCCTCCCAAACCTGCTCCTCCCACAGCTCTCTCCATCTCAGAAAAAAGGCAACTCCACTTCTTCAGTGGCTTAGGCTAAAAGCTAACCACCCTGGAGCTATCCTTGCCTCCTCTCTCACACAGCCTGCACTTGGGTTTTCAGGCACTCCTGCAGCTTGTTCTTTGAAATGGGTCCTTGGGCCACTTTTACCCCGTGCACAGTTTCTCATGGAGGGTGGTAGCCTCCTCCCTTCCTTTCTGTCTCACTCTGACCCCTGCACCCAGTCTAATCTACACATCGCAGTATTGGCAATTTTGTTAAAATGTAAATTAGATCAGACTCGCCCTCTGCTCAACCACCGCCAATGGCCCATTTCATCCACAGCACAAGCCTGAGGCTTTCCAATACCTCTGAGGCCCACCACCATCCTGCCCCTTGGTTCTTTGGACTCCGCTGGGCTCACTGCCCACTCTCCCTTCACCTTCCTCCCACCACAGGCCTCCTTTCAGATCCCTGCACAAGCCAAGCAGGCTCCTCCTGAAACCCTTTCCCAGACGGCCACATGGCTAATTTCCTTTAAGTCTCTGATCAAATAACACCCCAGCCTGCCGTAAACATCAGCCACATCCCTTCCAGCTCCCAGTCCCCTTTACCTGACTCCATTCTGTGCCATTATTGTCTATTTATTTCGTTTATTTTTGCCTATCTTGCTAGAATATCAGACCCGTGAGGGCAGGGATTTTTGTCCATTTTGTTCACTATTGTGTCTGTAGCACCTAGAACAATGCCTGGTACATAGTAGGTGCTCCACAAACACTCGTTGACCACATCTAGTTTGCTCGCTTTACAGATGCCCAATCTAGACCTAGAGGGTCAAAGAGATGTGTTCAAGGTCACATGGTTTTTAACTTGGGGCAGTCTTCACTTGATTCTATGATTCTGCACCTACTCTGAGGCTGTCTGGCATCACTGAACACTTGCCTCTGTGAAAAGGAGCCTCATTCGGAGTCCCCCAGAATGAACCTGTGAGCCAGGACTTCTCTGATCCATCCCTCAGTGCCTAGCTCCAGGCTGGGTCCTGAGTAGTCCCAAATCAATGGTTCAAAGTTCTTGGACAGGCCCCCAGTCTGTCTTAAGCCTCCCTCACATGGCTGTCCTCCTGCCGTTCTGGCCCCTCCCTAACGTCCCCAAATCAGGGTACCTTGAGTTTCCGGGGCAGGCGGGGCCGTTTCTCCCGCTTGGGCCTCAGGGGGCTGGGCTCGGGCAGCTGCAGGGCCAGGTAGTCAGAAGGGAATGGGGGGTAGAGGGGGGAAGCCAGCTGCAGGCGGGATTTGGGGTGGAGATGGGAGATGGAGTGGATCAGGGTGAGGAGAAGGGAAGAAATGCAAACAGAAGGAAGAATGGAAAAACAAAAGAGATGGTGATGAGTGTGGCTCCCAGGGCTCCCAAGAACAGAAGGGTAGGGGACAGCAGGACTGTGTCCTGGGGTCTGCTCTCCTTAGTTATGTCTGTCCCCCATTCCTACAACACAGAAGTGGGAACTCCCAACTCATACCCTCAGAGGGACACTTGCTGGCCACACCCAGACAGTTGTCCCCAGAGTTAGGCTGGCTTCACCCTGAGGCCTAGCCCTTTGGCTCAAATGATGCCCACCTTATTCCCAGGCATCTCAGTTCACCACTTCCCACCCTTGGCCCCAACTCACCGAGCTCAGGTATGGGGAGGGGGCCCCGGAGGCCTGCAGGGGAAACCCTGTTGAAGGAGGCAGGGAGAGGCTGGAGGGAGAGGGGGCACCCCCCAGTGGAGGGCTTCTCTTCCTGGAGAAAGGACAGGGAAGGGTGTCAGAGGCAACCTGGAGGCCAAGGA